CTGCAAGTACAATGTTTTACTATCCTGTTTCCTTGTTGACTGCAAGTCAGAGTCATTATACCCTGTTAAGTGAAACATCGCAAGGTAGTTAGTCCATTTTACGGAAAACATCAGCACAATACTATAGTCTTTCCTGCTGATGGACTCGTGATTTGAGAAAAACTTGTACATCGGTAAAGGATGGCAGACTTGGAAAACCAATAAGGCGGCCTGGGCAAAAATGCAACCAGTGCGCCATTCAACACAGCCGAACATAAAAAAGCACCCTACACAGTTTCCTATTGACGTCTAAACGTCTGTTATTTTCGTGTCAAACAGGTCACATGCGTGAGCATGCTCATAATCCCATTTCTGCTGAGTACCAGTTTCGATTAAGTGGTTGAATCCCTTAAACTCATAATATCGTATTGTGATGAGCAGGTAACTCTCTAAAAGGTACCAATTCTAAGAACCTTATGAAACTTCCGGCGCCACTCATCAGCGCTCCTACCGAGCAATGGATTCGCCCCGCTTCCACATATCCATGGACACATCCCAGCTTCAACGACCCTCTACGTAAGTCCACGCGTTACAGAGCCGATGGCTGCACTGAACTACCCTTGCGACACCTATCAAAGAATTCCTGCCTAAATTGTCGCAAAGACCAAACAGGATGTAAAAGTAACTGCACCTATCGGAGAATGTGAGAAACCACTTAGCCCACAATACTTACGGAAAGCTCCTCACAGAGCCACAACCAACTCCGCTAATCTCTCATGAAACTACCTCCGTGCGAATGTTTGCATAAAAGCTGAACTCGCTAGTCTACATGTGGGTGGGACCCTAAGCAAAATCCCATCTATTTTAAACCAATTCGATGCAAAGCGTTAAACTCCACTTCAGATCAAGTGGGAGTATAAAATCGTAGTCTATTGATCCATTGACTCAAGCGTTGTTCTCGACAGCGATCCACCATGCACTTTTAAGCGCTATGAAGCAAAATCTGACTTCTAGGTACTAGAGCAAAAAGTCCGACAACCGAGTCATTACGCATTCTACAGAGATGCTAAATGATCAAATACGATTTAAGGAGTAGTTACTATTTCCTTTTCCCATGTGGACTCAGAATGAGGAGACAATATACAGTAAATGGACGTTTTAAACGGGCGATAGGGAGTGATTGAGACGCCTGATCATCGACTGCACCACCTGCTCCAGTCTGGAGTTTTTCAAACATTTTGCAGTCTGAAATTGAAAGATTGGCCAACCATGAAGATGCAAATATAGCCTTCCAGTAATAAAACCGGAGCTCACTATATAAGGACAGGTAACCGTAATAAAGAGCAGCGAAAATGATTTGTGGAGGATCAATGACACCAATTTCTAAAATGTTGCCATGTTTTAAGAATTTTGAGTCGATAAGGTACGCTGCCCTCTACAGCTGTCAATCGTATGAATCGCAAGATAATCTAACACAAACCAGAAAGACTAACAAGAAATAATTATCAGCTAGGCGAAAGGTAAAAATGGGACCGCTCACCAAGGCTCTTAGATCAATTTCCACCACGTTCTCATCGACGTCTAACCTAAGGCGATCCACTTTCGGATCGACCACACTACCGCTGCTCTTCAGGCAATCAGGTCCAAAGGCATCCTGTAGCATCACTCCCAATGCACCGCAGAACTGAACGAAATCGGACTCCCGAAGAATGGACGAAGTGGCTGGAATGAAGCATAATTTGCACCATTATTTCCCACACATCTACAGACATTTCATTACACGACTTAGAAAGCCTTGTGGTTTGTCTAGCAGCAACGAAGTTTAGTGATAATTGAGGCTAATTCTATCTTTTCGTGAATAAAAAACCAATCTGGAACTATTCATTACCCCGATAGACCTTACAGAATTAGATAATTGTTGAAGCGTTTTAACTTGACAGTAAGTTATCGACAATAAGATCATTAAGGTAGGCAATAACCTGCGGAAACCATTTAGTACAACTAAGAAAATAAGTCTTGTACCTGAAGGCGGATGTGATGTTGAATTTGAAAAACTGAACAATCCATATTAACATCACCAACCTGAAGAAGTCGGTGAGGCCCGCAGCACAACGCTTTGAATGGCATCAGCATACATATCGTTCACCGGATTTGCCACCCACTATATGCAAAAAGGAGCTTTAACAGTTGCTCAAAACCTAAGCCGAGAATAAAAAGAGAACGGAACTCACTTTAATGCGGACCACATTGATCTGCCATGTTACGGTAATTTCGTCAAAAACAATAAAGACAACAGATTCCTCCGAGCGTTGCGAAACTTTCACTTTTCCAGCAACCATAGTAAGGTGAAATTGCAAAAGACTAGGGGATCCAGAGAATGGGATAGCTATGATCTGCGTTACAACAGTTGTGGCAAGTTCGGTATACACTAAAACAACATTAGTTGCTACTTGCAAATAAATAGGTAGATGTAATAGTTGATTCACAAAAGCTCTCTACATACCTGGAAGTTCAGTTGGAGTTATAATGTGGTAGGCGAAATTCTTTTTGACCAAAACTCCAGAGAGGCTTTCGCGTCCAGAATCGTTGATCTTCATATCCCCACCCAAGCTACTTCCTCTAGTCTTCGCCAGGCTACCAAGCACTTTAGCAACCTTTTCGCCCTTGAATCTCAGGTTAACAGATTCGCAATTTTTTGGCGTAAATATTTCCAAATGACAGACTTCGTCATCCTCATATTCACGTTGTAGAGCTCCCGCCAATCGCATCATTTCATTCTGTTCACCATGCACCAGAACCTAGCAATCCCCATTTACGATTAACAATATCACCTGCAAGTTTCATGCTGAGGTATTAATGGAACTAGCAGACTTATGCTTTAAGAAATGAAAGCATGAAGTGCATGGAGATTGTGTGCGTAAAAAGTACCAATGTCCTCAGCTTCGTAATAAAAAATGTTTAGGTAGTTTATTGAACTAAATCCCTCATGACTAGTAATGAACACGAACCAAATGATCCAAGTCCCAAGTTATCTATTTCCGGTCAGACCTTGAAAGTCACCTGTATGCTCTTTCAAAAAAGTTTCACGTACAACATAATTGGGTTTGAGTTCGCGAATGAACTCGCTGGTCTGCTGGTAGTCGGTATGGGCGGAGAAGCTAATATACTCAACGGAGCATTTGAGTGGTAGCATTTGGCCCGACATGGTGGGGACCTCGGCGGGCTGGGAAAGGATCTGCTTGGCTGGGGTACCTTCAACGCAATATCCTGCGATAATTACACCGTTTCTCTTGTCAGTGCACCAATTCTCGAAGAGCTCCCGGCTCAGCCCAGATTGCATCATCCCCGGACTCGCTAGGACCACGCAGGGACTCGAGTCGTCCAAGTGATTCCTGCTCTGTCGACAAATCATATAAATAATTTATGGGGCAAATATACCAGCTCGTAAAGCTCTTACCTTAATATTCTAGCACAAAGAATGACATTGCACTCCCAAAACAGGCTATAAACAGTACCTTAAAAATCAATAGTCAAATTTCGGACAGAGAAAACAAATTTGAATGAAAGTGATTGTACATCTTCGAGGCGATACTCCAGATCATGGCAATTGTTCAATTTCATAAGCATGAAAATAGTAATAGTAATAGTTTCACGAATGCGTCAAAGGAGGAATCTTGTCCTGCATAGATTGCATTGAAATTATCAGGAAATAGAAGGGTGAAAGTATGCACAAGTTATGACAATCTAGCACATGAAACCAATGTAATCGATAAATTCCACACCGCACAAGAACATAAGGATATCGAAAAAACTACAACCGAACGGCTTGGTTAAAATAAGTGAAAAAAATCACCTGTAGGTTTGAAATGAAGCGGAAGCAGAAAGGATTATTATTTGCAACTTGATTACGAATACGGTCATTCATGGCAGCGATAAAAGTCTGATAAACTGCCATACACTTGCAAGCAAGCTGACTGGCATAATAGATTGGAACGTCTTGAAGTTCCGGATGGGCGGCCCAGTACTCATCCAGGATGAGCATCAACTCCTGCGCACGACCAAGAGCAAATGCAGGTATGAGACAACGACCACCTCGAGAAATAATGTCATGGACCAAACTTGTGAAACGCTTCTCGCGCTCCTCCCGCTTATCATGAATATGAATTCCGTAGGTAGATTCAGTGATTAGAATATCTGGGCGGTGCGGAGGTACCTCAGCGCACATCAAGTGCCGATCCTCTTGGCGACTAAAGTCACCTGTGTAAAGAATCTAAAAACTACAACATCACCGAGAAACAAACCTTAACACCAGCAATCTCAATGAGAAACATAGCAGCTCCAAGAACATGACCGGCATGATAGGCAGAAAATTTGATCCCATTCACTTCTAGCTCTTGATGGAAGTCGATAGGATCAATCTTTTCAAGACTCTGAACGATATCACTATCTGTATACAACGACTGTTCCGAAATGCCAGAATTACTGAGCAACTTGTTTAAAAATGTCTGCCATACCTGACCTTAACAAAGTCAGCAAGCAAATAACGGTAGATAGCTCTGGTAGCATGTGTCATGTAACACTTTGCACGGACATTTGTCTTTAGCAAGAGGAATGGAAGAGCCCCGCAGTGGTCCAAATGGTAGCTAGAAGATATCGTTAACTATGGCGACTTTACTGGCTGATAAGAATAAGATCGGTGGTTTCAATGTCTGGAATGGCATCAATAAATGGAAGACTCTCTTTGTTATGCAACCCAGGGTGAATCCCGCAATCAAGCTAAGCATGTATGAT